CAGAAAAATTCAGGGAGAAACTAAAAAAACTTAATCTACAAATTTAGATTTGGGGATTATTTATACTCAAAGCTGAGATGGTTTTTTTTTTTTTTTTTTTTTTTTTTTTTTTTTAAAGCAACCAACTGGATATTTGATTTCCCAGGAATTAAGTAACTGGTATGACTTTCACTTGTTTTTTACTTGAATTGACCAACTGCTTATTAGACCATCATTGCATTCATATTAGAAGTTTTATATGCCTAATTTCAGGACAGCTAAATTAGCCCTCTGACATTTTAACTTAGAAAACTGAACTCTATCCTGAGAAATGGGGAATTCTTAGAGAGCAATGCATTGCAACCACAATGCATCAGTCAAAGAATCTGAAATTTCTGTTAGGCTTAACTTAGGAACTTACATTGTAATGTATATAATGTTTTGCCAACTTAACCCAATTTGCCTTTTTTACTGAAAAGGAACAAAAACTAAGAATATACACCACAAAGTGTGAAATACCTTAACTAAAGTACATGTGATATTTCTTAGACCAATAAGAATTTATTATTTTCCAGGAAACTGAGATCCAATCATAAGTTTTAGATTTCATTAATGAAGATGTAAAACAATCTGCTATAAAATTTAGGAGGCCGACTTCCTCTCTCGCCATGCAAACACTTTGCTATATGTTGTTAATTTTAAGCTATACGCTAAAACACATCACAACTTTACAGTTGGTGGTGATATTTAAAATGGTTAGCTAACATACAGGCTTTGACAATATTTAGCACTTTATAGCAATGCATTGACACTAACTTTAGAAACTATAGCATAATAAGATTTTATAGCCAATTAGGTTGATGAGTCACTGTCAGCTTCCTAAACTCCCCTTTTAGATGAATGAGAGAATAAGTTATAGGAAGTGAGGAGCAAGTCGTAGCTGCTGTAAAATCTTAAGTGTCATCATGAGGTTGAAGTGTTAAAGAACTGAAAAATATGTTGTCTAAACAGCCTGAAAAGAAATCAAATGATTAACTTTTTCAGAAATGGTAATAGTGTTCAGTCTTTCAGTTTGTCACCATGTGCTTACATTGATTTAGAGGAAGAGTCTTACAGTGTTCATTGATTCACATGTGGCACCAGTTACTAGACAGACTTCTGAACTCTCACTTTAAAAGAAAATAAACATGTACAAAGTTGAATATATTTAATCAACAGTCAAAATAATTGGAGTTTATAACTAGAAAAGAAAATGAATAGTTTGAATAATGAAAATTTAAATATTTTTCTTTAATAAGATGATGTGTATTTGTTTGTGTATTTAAACCTATTACATATAAAGTTGAATTTTTTTATTTTTTGGTAGGGACAGGGTCTCACTATGCTTCCCAGGCTGGTCTTGAACTCCTGGCATCAAGCGATCCTTCCACCCCAGCATTTCAAAATGTTGGGATTACAGCGAGGAGTCACCACATTAGGCTGTTTATTCTTTAAGAAATGCTGAGAAAGAGTATATCTATTAAATTGGAACATGTCAATTATACTTTATCAGGAAATGTTGTATATAAATGAATCCAATTATTAAACACTGAGGAGTATGTTTATAGATCGACAGAGAGGTTGCATTGGCATTAAAATAAAATTATGTAAAAAATAAAATGATAATGTAAATTGAAGTTGCACTGGCATTAAAATAAAATGACATTATATTAAATCAAGATTATTTTAGAATAGAGTGAGTTTAAAACAATAAAACATACATACATGTGTAGCTGTTACATGAATTCCATGGGTTGTAAAAAATTTCCAAATTCCTTAATGCTCTTGTGTTCATTGCTTCATTCGAAGCCATTTGGCTTAGGCATTTTCTGCCAGTTCTGTGCCCACTGTGCACCCTTCACCCTGCAGCAATAGAAACATGGAAATCCTCCCTTTTATTTAAAGCCAACAAAATTAGATTAAAAACCAATAATATTTACAGAAGAGGTGTGTGAGGGGTGTGTGAGTGTGTGTGTGTGTGTGTGTGTGTGTGTGTGTGTGTGTGTGTGTGTGTATGTCTGCAGCACAGGGATTTATAGAGCAGCAATGCAAACAACCTGGAATGTTAGATTTCCCTCTGCCATTATTTTACCTTGGGCTCAAGACTTTCTCTCTGTTGCTACATCTTCCTTTCTCTCCTCTCTGAATCTTTTTCTTCCTACCATTTTCTGTTTTCTCTTTCCACCCTCTCAGGAGAAAGACATTCAGTTCCTTACACTTTCTTATTTACAGAACTTTTGTGTCTTTCTGGCTTCTACTCTTGTCATCAGCTCCAGGCCTTCCTGTGTGTCTAAGGATGTGATGGAAGCTTTGAAATGCATAAATATTGGAAATTGTGTTCTTTGACTCTGCATCTAGTGAGAAAAGGGAAAGAATTTGATTAGATTTTCTTCTGGTTGTACATATCATGAAAGAATTATTTTTATTTTCATACTTCAATGGCATATATAGCTATAGTGGTATTTTTGAGGATTGCTCTATGCAAGAGCAGGATTTTCCAAAAGCTGGCTCTTTTGGAAACCAGACTTGGCTGGTTGCACCAGAATTTCTGGGGGAGTTGTGGAAATGACAGATCCTTTATGTCCCAGGTAGGGAGATTCTGACCCAGCAAGTCTGGGATGGTGCTGAGAAATCTGTACTTAAGGAGAGAACCAAGCATGGAAACAACCGCTCTGAACCTCTTGTCTTCATTTTCTGTTACCAAGTTCAGTGATGCAAAACACAGGGATATCTATCCAGAACTAGGGACTGATCCTAAAAGTCATTATTCACTTCTATCTGAAATTTCCTCATCACTTGCCTTTTTTTTCATAAGCAACCATCCTGGTTTCCCCAGGGCTCTTCAGGTTTTGGTCCTAGGTCCTAAGAAACTCCTCAGTCCTGGACTAAAAAGAGTGGATAGTCACCAGAAAGGAATCTACAAGGAAATAACAACATCTATTTGGTTGCTGTAGCCACCCTTCAATATTTATTTATGAATGCTCTACTTTGTGCTTAAAACCATGGGAGAGAAATTTTAGGCAGATGTGGAAAGGGTTGTTTTACAGGAAGCTTGATTAGAGATTCTGGGAATGAGCAGTCTTGTCCTAAGACTCAGGAGACAAAAGTATAACCTCAAGATAGGAAGAGAACATTGTCCTCATGTCTTGCGAATCTTAGCTTAGATCATGCAGCTCAGGTAGGTTGAAGGAGACAATATACCTTTTGAGAAGTAGTCTTCCCTGTCTCTGTGCTTGGAAACCTGCAAAACTTTCAGTAGGATATTTCAGGGAATCCCCTACAGAGTTAGCCTTGTTTTCCACATATTGTTTGACATGGAAGCAGCAGACTCTGTAGAGATATAGCAGGTCTTTGGAAATGTGGGACTAGCAGTTAGATGGCAAGAAAGGTTTAGAAAACTAATTTTCTAAAAAACTAACTTCCAAAATGAACTAAACTGATTACTATAAATTGATCTAATGTTTTGTACTCTATAGCCAACCTTTTGTAGTCCAGTTTATAATTCTAGCTGTAGAAATTTTAGTAGTTGACAAAATTGATGATAAGCAGATTCTAAGGTTGGGGATAAAGAAGCTCAGCCTTGGAGAATAAACAGTTCAGACATGAGAAAATCAGAAAAGCCATGTCAAACAGGGAGGAACTGAATTCAGCCTCATGACAGACCAGAGAGACCAGAATACCAACCAAGATCATCTAAAAGAACACAGTGTCACAAGTGATTAAGACCAGATGAAAAACAAAAACAATAATTGGATGAATAAAAATAAACTGACCACTATTTTTGTTTAGGAAAAAACCACTGGTTTTTCAGAGTGCAAATATCCAAATATAAACCATTTAAATTCAACTCTGTAAGTGTATAGGTTATATGCATTGGTGTTAAGAAAACAAATATTTGTTGAATTTAAATACAGCTTATTCAAGGTTAGTAACATTCATGGAAAGTTTAAAATGCTTGCTTTTGTTCTAAGTGTTACCAGTTGTGTAGGGTTGGTGAGGGATGTAGAAGTGATAGATCATTTTTTCCTCCCTTAATAACTCATTATGTCCCTTCCATAATTTTTTCTTGCATGCCCAACATTCTTGCCATCTACCACATTTTTCTGGGGATTGAGAGAATATTGGACTTGAAGTCTGAGACATGCAAATGCTTCCCAAATCTGCCTTGTGTACCCCATGTGGTGATAATCTCCATGAGTCTTGGTTTCCTCGTTTTCAAAATGGGAATCTTGTATCATAGTTGATCTCTCATTTATATTCCATTTAAAATATATTACTATTCCATATTAAATTATAAACACCAACCTAAAGGTAATCTCCACTGCCAATTATCAGCCCTAAAAATGCCCAAACACAGGCACATTTATTCTGAGTGACATGCATTTTGAGGTATCTGCATATTTTTAATAGAAATTCTAAATAGAAAATTGAGTTCAAAAAGAAAACAAATTGAATGATTATTATAAAGATAACCACAGTCACTTAAGGGAGTATTGTCATAAAATAGTTAGAAAAACACTCCCAAATAGAGCACATTCAAAACTAGAGCTGATTTGGGGAGTGGCAAAAGATCTTACTTTGGGCCACTAATTAAATGACACTCCTAGAGTTGAGGTAGATGGCCAGAATGACATATTACACATTTTACTTAAAAGATCAAGCCACTACCAAAATGTTATGTAATTACTAGAATGTACACTATAATAGGATTCAATAAGGTGGAAATAAAGATAATGAAACCATACTTCTTTTACTTACTTTATTTCTTTTTGTTGCTAATGAAATAGTTTTACTCTTTCCAAATAAACTCAATATCCAGCTTAAAAACCTGACTCAGTAACTATAGAATTAATCAGAAGTGAAATCAAATAGTTGTGTCTCATTAAGTGTTCCTCAAATGATGGAAATCTTAGCTCTAATGCCATCTTTTATTGGAATCTAATGTCAACTGATGGTTTCTTTAAATTTTTTTTTTTTTGCAGGGCTGGAGCGAATTGCTCGGGATTCATCTTATGAACAGGAAGGAAAGGTCCAATTTGTAATTGATGCAGTATATTCCATGGCTTATGCCCTGCACAATATGCACAAAGATCTCTGCCCCGGATACATTGGCCTTTGTCCACGAATGAGTACCATTGATGGGAAAGAGCTACTTGGTTATATTCGGGCTGTAAATTTTAATGGTAAGTCACAACATGTGTGTGTGTGTGCGTGTGTGTTTCTAATTACTTTAAAAGTGACAGGGTGTGTTTTTCCTCCTAAATATAGAAGATACCCAGGCAGAGTGGAAAACACAGGATTAGAAGCAGTTCTCTCTTTGATCAGAAGTGTGAGTTTTTCCACCTGCTTTTACATCTCAAACATATTTTTATGCTACCATTAATCTATGTGTGAAGGAAGCAAAAGTTTAAAATAAGCTTCTATCAATCAAAATATTCTACTTAAATATCATTATCGGAGAGATAACTTAGAAGACTTATTTGAGACCATTAATAATAGATTAGGTTTCTTTGAAAATGTTTAGTTCATGCCATTATTAGAGAAGAGATTGTAGACATTTTGTTTTGAAACTGATTTTAAGCTTTTAAAACAGTAAGTTGACTTGAACAAAATGGATGATTTGGAGTTGCTATGTATTTATACTTAAAGAATATTAAGTTTCCGTGTCTTCCATTTCCTTGTATTTTTCTCAACTACTCAGTCATTTGGAAGCAAAGGGATGCAAAGAAAGCAAAGTGGCCTAATGTAGATGGGATTTTTATACTGTAAAAGCAGCAATGTTTCTGTGACTGTCACAAGAAACTGGTACAGAATATACTTGATTCGTAGTATTTTGATTGAGAATAGCCCAACTACCTGTCTGGAGTGATGGAATTATCGAATGCTGCTATTGTTTCATGAAAGTTGCAAAGATTGTTGCCCATGACTTTGACCATTATTTTCAAATGAAATGATAGAATGCTTAGAGCTGTCTAATTCTTTTGGCTTGGCTGTAATCCACACAATGGACATGCCTTCGAGCCACGCACAGCACTGCGCTGTCTATCATAACACATTCCAGTGACCTCAGCTGCCAGTGTTTCTCAGAAAAGCACAAGGTCATCTTCAATTTAGAATTCAAGTGGAAACTTCTTCTTTTTTCCTTTTTTGCGTTTTGCCTTTAAAGACAAGCTAAGACAGAATTTGGTTTAAATTCAAAACAGAGTATCTTTGTCTGTGGCAGAGTATTTGTAAAACATTGCATAACATGAATCTTTTTATTGGGAATGTGAACACTAACTGGAGCTTAAAAATTTTTTTCATGAAATTCCATGCAATTATGAAATTGAGCAAAGGAGGAATGTTGCAATACAAGGTTGTTTACCATAACTTAAGGTTGGGGAACCCTTCCTTTATCTAATATTATTGGTTAAGAGGTGGGAAGAATAACGCAGATGAGTGAAGTTTCCATAGAACTGAAGCTCCCCTCCAGAAGACAGGGAAGTCTTTTAAAGAAGCACTAAAGATAAAGCAATTTAAAGGTGAATTACTAATTTGTCTTTTATCTTAACCATAGATCAAAACTAACCCTTCCTTGATCACTTCAGTTGTTATACCATACTGTAATATAATGATGCTATTAAAGACTGTTAAAGAATGTCTTAACGTAATGGCTATTTGGAAGATTTGCCTCTAGACTCCAATGATCTTTGCGTTCTGTCCACTTTATATAGGGTTTTTTTTTTTTTTAGCATTATCAAAGTGTTGCTGATGCTATTGCTGTGTTGTTTTAGGACACGTGCTGATGATACATTACTGAGGAAACTAGACAAAACATTCATGGCATTTAGAGTTTCCTGGAGAGCTTAGGTATTAATCAAATAAGCACACAGAAATATAATTATATAACCTTTGTCAGCATTGAGTGCTGACAAGGGAGATACTCTGCATTTAGAGTTTATAATAGTGGAAATTTCCCTAATGTAGGGATTTAGGAACTGATGAAATCTGAAGGGAGTAGGTATCTGAGAATAAGGGTAAAGCAGTAGGCAGAGCCATGTAGACCATGATGAGGTCTTGTAGGCCATTATTAAGATTTGTTCTTCATCTTGAAAGCAACAAGAACCTATTGAAGCATAATAGAACTGTGTCTGATAAGGATATGTATGTCCCAGATGAGGGTTATGGAAAATAAATAAATTTCAGTGTATGAACTTAAAAGAGAATCTCTTTGAGCTCTTTGGATTGATTTTGCTGAGCTTGAGACTCGGTTGTATTCCAGTAGCTGATAATACAGGATAAGAGACCTAAAGATAAACTAATGATCATAGAATACATAATTCTGTTGATTTTCAGTAATTTCCAGGATTTTAATCACATCACTTTTTAATTTTATTATTGACTTATCTATTAATGTTCATACTGCTTATCATAAAAATGACACATAGGGCTGTTCAAATAGAAGTACACCATGAAAACTACTAAAGGAGGAAGAAACACATACAGTAATCAGAATAAAGAATGAAATCATTAACTTTTGAGCTTCTTAAGCAGTCAAAGTGTAAAGGGACTGGCAATGTGGTTCATAATTTTCATTATATGATAGAAGCAAGCCTACCTATTTTTTTTTTTTTTTTTCTTTTTGAGACGGAGTTTCACTCTTGTTACCCAGGCTGGAGTGCAATGGCGTGACCTCGGCTCACCGCAACCTCCGCCTCCTGAGTTCAGGCAATTCTCCTGCCTCAACCTCCTGAGTAGCTGGGATTACAGGCACGCGCCACCATGCCCAGCTAATGTTTTTGTATTTTTAGTAGAGACGGGGTTTCACCGTGTTGACCAGGATGGCCTCGATCTCTTGACCTCGTGATCCACCCGCCTCGGCCTCCCAAAGTGCTGGGATTACAAGCTTGAGCCACCGCGCCCGGCCAAGCCTACCTATTTTTTAAGAGAGAATCGATTTTCTTGGAAATAATTTCCAAAAGAAAGGTGTCATATGGGACTTTGACAGCCAAATGAGCAATGTTACTTAACAAAATTTTAAAGCAAAAGCTGAAGCCTTCTCTGGCTGTTTTGCATATGTACCCACAATCAAAGCTAAGAAATGTAACTCTTACAACACTGAAAGTATGTTTCATTAAAGATGTTTTCAAGGAGCAGGAAGATAATTATCCTTGATTTAGATTTATGACTCTTTTGAGCCCTGATGATACGGGGATGTACCATACTCTGAAGATAAATGAAGAGCATCTCCCTTATACTCTAGTTTTAAGATTCTACGTTCAAAAATATCCTACTTAGAAATCTAACATTTCAATCTGTTAAAAATAAGAACTGTTGGCTTGAAGGGGTTGGCATAGCCCTGGCAAGTCCACTTCCCTAGTCTTGCTTACTAGTCTTGGAAGCACCTTGAAGAATCCCAGTGACTCTAGGAGGCACACATACAATCTGCAGACTTACATACATATCCTTGCTCTTCACAGGGATTTAACAGCAGCTAGAAGTAGACTTTTGGAGCTTGTTTTAGTTGTTAGGAACCTAAAAAAGCCATGTTATGTGGTTAATTGGAATCCATTGAGTTAGTTATGTTGGTGATAGCCAGCGTTCTCACCTGGTGGGACAGTGGACCTGCCTCCCTAACACCAAAAGTGCCAGGAGGCCATTGGCCTAAACAAGGTTTGTTCAGAAACAATTTTTAATTTTCTGAAGAACCCAGATGTGCTGGACTAGAACCAAAGCTGCTTACTATACATGACAACAAAAAATATTATGTATTAGAAGGTTTTTAGCGTAGCTATTGTCAGTTGTCAAAGAATGAGCTTTATAAGGCAACTGCCAAGTTGGTATATTGTGGCCTTCTAGATTTTCTGCCAAGATTAGTGAGCTATAAAATGTACTCTCAAGTAATTTAAAAAACTGACCCATTCAATGGAATTACTTAGTAATGCCCATTTAAAATGGAATAGTTGGTATTCAAAATGCAATTTTTGTGTAGATAAAATTGTTAAATTCGTTCTTTTTGACATAATTAGGTATCAGGACACATTTATTTTTATGTTCCCTTTTAGTTTGAGATAGTAAAACCATGTTATTGGTGTGGAGGAAGATTTTGCTTCCAGTTTATAAGAGCAGGGAGTGAGGCAGCCAGAGCCCTGGATTCTCATCAGACCATTGGTACCAAATTCAGGAGAGTTGTTTGTTAAAATGTAACCTGCTCACATTGTAACCAGGTGTGTGGTATGCCTACTTAAGCAGTGATTTAAAGATATGTGATTTAAGAGATTGTGCTTCTTCCAGTGTATCATTTAATTGACAAAGCAAAGAATATATTAGAATTTAGAGTGACAAACAACTAGTATTTCAGGCCAGAATCATTTCATGAAAAATGCCTAACTAAGCTGGAATATTCAGTCAAACTGCTGAACTGTAGAATACTAATTGGCATCAAAGACATAAGCTACAATGGTGGTTTAATTGAATGTAATCACTGAAACTGATTTTTTAAAATCACTGAAAAAATGTACCTGAACCATCTTCTGCATCTGTATTTTAAGCACATTCTGAATCATAGTGTATCCAGAATTACTCATGTTTCCCTTACAAGTTTTCTTAACATCTTCTATCTACTTGGGAAGCCAGAGGGAAACAAAGACTTTCCTTTTAGGGTTACTTTTATTGCTGCTATCTGAACAAAATGTTATTTCTATAATTTTTAAACCCTAAGATCTATCAAAAACTATAAGGGAAATGAGTTCAGGTATGTTAGAAACTTGTCAGTTTCTTACTCCAGACTGGCCTATAGGCAATAAAATATTAATTCTGTACATCTTGTATAGAATAAAAGATTTTTCTGTTGCTATGAGAACTGTATTTGTCATAGAGAAAGTGTTGAATAGAATTTCAGAGCTATCTCCGCACTCCTTTGCCCTGTAGTTGAACTCATGTCAGGGCAGGTCAAGCACAGTGGCATATTAATCGAAATTGATTGATTGTAGGTAATCAACCAACTTGATAAACCAACTAAAACTTGCTTAATTAAGCTAAAATGAAGAATTTGTGAAGGTGCATCAGGAAACCCCATAGCAGAATAGAAATGAGTCTAAAGAAAGAACTGGTCCTAAGAAATAAAAACAAGCATCTCTGTCTGTCTGTCTTCTGCTTTATCTGTTTCTCTTTATACTGATTTTCTCCTCTTCTAGGTTCACAG